AAATTATATTTTATTTTGTTTTGTTTAATTATGATTTGCGTATCAAATACAAAATTGCACTTACTAAATATTACAATATATGCACATTGTGCTTATATTTATATCACTATCTTAATTTAATAAAGTAAAACTGTAATATTATAACTATAAATTTTAATAATATATTAGTATGTAATAAAATAGATTAAGAAAAAGATGTTGACCCCCAAAAAATTCCAGGTCTACACGACGATGTAGTGGGGCCGCGTGAATTTGGCCCACCTTCCAACTTAGGAATTCGATTCTGACTTAACCACGAGGTTGCAATTTTTTTTACGAAGGTGGCCTAAAGTTGCAAATTAGTTGCTAAATTATGAAAAAGGTTCCAGGGTAATACGACGATGTGGCGGGGCCGCGTGAATTAAGCCCCACCAATTTAGGAAATCGCTTCCGGCGTAACCACGAGGTTGCAAATTTTTTCACGAAGGTTGCCTAAAGTTGCCAATTAGTTGCTAAATTATGAAAAAATTCGAGGTCACTACGACGATGTGGTGGGGCCGCGTGAATTTGGCCCCACCAACTTAGGAATTCGTTTTTGGCGTAACCACGAGGTTGCAAATTTTTTCACGAAGATTGCCTAAAGTTGCCAATTAGTTGGTAAATTATGAAAAAGGTTCGAGGTCAATATGACGATGTGGCGAGGTTGCGTGAATTTGTCACCCATCAACTTAGGGATTCGTTTTCGGTGTAACCACGAGGTTGCAAATTTTTTCACGAAGGTTGCCTAAATTTGCATTTAGTTGCTAAATTATGAAAAAGGTTCGAGGTCAATACGACGATGTGGTGGGGCTGCGTGAAGTTGGCCCCACCAATTTTGTTTTAGCGATTAGAACAAAAATGTAAGGTTGCAAATTTTTTTATACCGGTTGCTTAAAGTTGCAAATTAGTTGCAAAATATTGGTATAGTCCTTCCATTATCAATTGCAGAACACAGTTATGTGGGGAATCATCAATATTTAATATATACGCACGGTACTCATGCCAAATTTAGAAACGAAAAATAATGTTTACTCCCCTTATACAATGCGGTAAACATTAAAGGAACGGTCAGTCCACGTGTACTTGATATATATGTGTCAAAATCCATCATCTTCGTTGTTTACCAATGAAAACGTCGAATTGTAAACTTAAATGCACTGTATTGGCTGAAAGTTTACGGAGGGCACGAGTGTTCGAAAATATTCCTAGAAGACAGTCTGCGATATCAGTGGAGTACTGTCGTGCGGTGTGTTTTGTATGTGTGGTTTAATTTCTTTTAATAAATATAAATATGGCGTTCTTTAGACCGTGGGCGAATGAAGAAAATGAAATTGCACAGTGTAGTAAGATTATAGACAGGTATGACTTTAACAATAAGGATTTGAATATACAAACACAACAAGTTATTTTAAATATATTCGAATGTTTAAAAAAGAAAAATATTCAGCAGTCTGATAATGCGATCATAATAAGAATTGCTAAATTAACTAAAGTAAATAAATTTTCCATTTATCGGGTAGTCACAAAAGGGGTTGCTGTGGATCATTCACAAAACCGAAAAACATGTAAAGAAAAACTGAAATCAGTTGACAGAGCTACCCAAGATTTTATACGAAGGACAATTTATAGTTTATATAAAGAGAACAGGGTTCCAACATTGGAAGTAATACAGCAAAAGGTAGCAGATTTTCCAGGATACACTTATACCAGTTTGGAAACATTGCGTCAAGTTTTGTCAGCATGTGGTTTTAAACACAAAAAATTGAATAAACGGATGGCAATCACCGAATCGTCAAAGATATTTCAATGGCGACAAGATTATTTGCGTCAAATAAAAGAGTACAGAAGTTCTAATAGACACATAATTTATCTAGATGAAACATGGTTTGACAGTCACGATGTAGAAAATTTCGGTTGGGTTAATAGTAGTAAAAATTGCTGTTTGAATGGGCCTTGTTCTAAAGGGAAACGTATTATAATAGTACACGCTGAAAGCAAAGACGGTTTCGTGCCTAATGCTTTATTATTATCTGCTAAACAAATTAAAAAATGTGCAGCTGATTATCATGAAAATATGACAGCAGAATTATTTGAAAAATGGTTTAATGAACAGCTTTTACCTAACATTCCACCACAGTCAGTAATCGTTATGGACAACGCATCCTACAACTCGCGGCAACTCCTTAAAATACCAAATAGTAGCAGTAACAAAGCTCAAATTTTAGCGTTTATGTCTGAAAAAAATATTCCTATTCCTGCCAGTGATCGTAGAAAAGGCCCAACAAACAAAGAATTGCTTACTGTTATTAAAGGCATGAAGTTGGAAAAAATTTATTATATTGACAAGCTGTGCAAAGAACAGGGTCATACTCTTCTCAGACTACCTCCTTACTATTTCATATTTAACCCTATAGAGTTAATATGGGCAAACGTAAAATCAGAATTACGAAAATGTAATCAGTCTCCAGAACTGAGTAAAGAGGTTGTAGAACTCGTAAAGAAAGTTCTAACAGCAGACCGCCAAAAGCTTTGGAAAAACTGTGTCGAACATGTTATTAAAGAAGAAGAAGATGAGTATGTAGTATTACCCTCTTTACAACCCATCATAATTCAACCAAATGATGACTCTAGTTCAGATGATTCAGACTACCATGATTATTTATAAAGATATTTTAGAATTGAATTGTTTTTTTCTTTTGTTTTATTTGCAAAAGAATTTATTTTCCTTTATGGTTTTTGCTTTGAAATTTCGTTTTCCAGAAAAAAAACGAGTGGGGTACAAAAAGGGCTCAGTTTACGTCTGGTACCCTGTTTAAACCAAACGCCCTTACAGGCAGGTACACTTTACTCGCTTTTTTTACGTTTTATAATTTAATTTTCAGTTCTTGAATGAGTAAAACCAAATTTGGTAGATTTTCACAAAACTTTTATTTTAAAAAATAAAAATTAAAAACACTACACAATAATTTAACAAAACAAAGTACTTAAGAAAACATCAATAACATAACAAAATAAACTAACTATTTAAAGTAAATAAGGGTATTAGGTAATTACGATATCAATCAAATAACAATAAGATAGTAACATTACCGGGATTATCTCACAGAAAACTAGGAAAAAAGATTTAATAAGGGTGAGTTTTTAATATCTAATTGATCATTATGTTTTTAATTTTTATTTTTAATTTTTTTAAATAAAAGTTTTGTGAAAATCTACCAAATTTGGTTTTACTCATTCAAGATAAAATGGATTTTCATCAAGTAAAGGCCGAAACAATAAATAATAATATTCAGTTGTAGCAAGTTAACGAGCTGTAATGATTTTTTTTAAGTCCAAGTAAGACTACAATTAAGTGCATATGTCTAAATCAAGGCGTATAATAACGTCCAATTTATAATGATTCGATTTCCTTTTAACGAATACTGTCTTGCATATGATATATATTAAAAGTATTTATAAAATGAGGTAGGTACCTACGCCTATGGCAGATCAAACAAAATTGTCGGTAAAGGTTCCGAACGAGTTTTTATGTTCTGCAATTGATAATGGAAGAACTATACGACTTTGGTGTAATTATCAAAACATGGTAGGGCCAACTTCACGCAGGTAGTGGACGGCAGCGATTGCCTTGGTTATATACGTTATATATCTATGCGATTGCCAACGCGAGACTTTATGTCGCGTAAACGTTAATATAGAACAGGGTCGGCTTCGCACGACAACATTAAATTATCCATGTGAACTCATTTTCAACATGCATGGACCAACAGAACAACTTGAATTGATTTATATTCTAACCAACGACGAACAATTACTAGACTATTTAGTTTACAAAAATCGAATTGCAAACATTTTAATGTTTTATGCGCACAGTTGTTAAATTATTATGAGAGAGTATGTTGTAAGGATTGTTTGTGAATATATAGCGGTATTGACTTACCTACATTAGGGAAGTATATTTGCATTTTTATTGCCGGTTTAATGTAATTTTTTCGTTGCAGGTATTGTTAAAGGAGGTTTCTTGGTACGCAAATAATTTTGGCACTATAAAGAAAGAGTCGTAGACATTAATACTGATTCATTTATAAAACGCATGCTCACTCGTCAGAAAAACAAAAAAACCATCCTTATTCAAATTAGCATACGTGTTCTTCTTTTTAACGCGACAGCCGACGTAAGACCTTTGTCTGCGAATATAGAACAAAATCCGAATGATTACAATAAGTATGATGCCTTAATATGGAAGAATGGATTAGTCAAATATTTTTCTTCGTTAATTGTAACAAATTACTTCTACTACTAACGTGAATCAAACGCGACAGATTCTGCCGTATGCGTACTTCGAGCGTCGCGCACTGTCCTAACAAATCGTAGCTTATAAAAGAAAAATAGAGGGCGGAAAACAATTTTTTTTAGTTTAATGTCTTAGGTATACACTTAATAAACCAGTTTCAGTTTGTGATTTGATTTTTTATGCCTTGTCTCTGTTTCCCAGCGCCACTTCACTAACAGCACTATTAATTAAAACCCAACGATGAATAGTCGGTGTGGGGAATCCTACTTAGGCAATCAGAAGTATTTTTAAATAAATTAATTATTAAAAAAAAGCCCCACCAATGGTTGGATTCCAATTGCTTCCCGTTGTATTCATAAGTCCAGACTCTAACCACCGAGCTTATCCCTGTCAAAAATGGGTAAAAAAAGATTAGTAAACCAGAAGTTGTAAATAATCCTATTAGTAGTGAGATAAATAAATCCAAGATAATGAAATAATTGGAATACTTGAAAAGGATAATCATACATCAGGAACATAGACAAGAGAGGCCAATCAAAAAATTAATAGAACAAAGTTATGAGAATAACATTCAAAATTTGGAAAACAAAGGATATTCTTAGGACTGTCAACAGGTATTTTGGACATCGTCTTTATGCCTGACCAGAATAACATAGGCCACATTAAAATAATCATATTGTATACATACCTGTTAAATAAAGTAAAAGAAATATCATTCCTGTTAAAATTAAACTTTTTTGGAATATTATCAGATCCTCCAAACAAGCCAAATGATTGCACGCCAGTATTTTGGTGTTCCGTTTCTTCTTCTTCTTCTTCTTCTTCTCTTAAAAACTTTTGATATATTTCATTGGCTTTTTTGTCCCCCTTTAGGTCAAGACGTTTCAAAACGCCCTGTTCGTCGACAACATAGATGAAATCTTCTCCGATTCCCGGATATTCTTTCTGTAATTCAGCCCTGTGTCTTAGGGCCTTTATGTGTCGTTTTAATCTAAACGTAGTAGCGGTTTGTAGGTAACCTAAAAAATTTAAATTTATAAAATATTTTTTAAATTGGTTAATACTCGTATTTCAAATGAATCTCATTAAAGGACACCGCACTTAAAGCACTGAAAAAAGGTTTCGGTAAAAATGTCTCAATTTTATATATGTTGTAGTCCTAAACATCTTTATTGAATTTGTGAAGAAAAATTGGCGGGGTCCACGAGCCGTTTCGGAGCTAGGGTCACTCATAAGTGTACGTAAAAGGGGGCTTGCTATATGTGCACTACTTTTCAAATTGTCCTTATAATCAAAAAAGAGCATAATTTAAAACAAAAACAGCATGCATGCCTTAAATGGATATAGTTACTGTTATTAAGTCTAAAATATGGCAACTCTACAGGGTGAACAATTTTAAATGGTACGGAAAGTTGAATATTTATAAGATATTTTTAGTATTTTTGTTTCTCGGTATGCATTTTAGTAAAAAAATAATTTTAATACTGACGACGAGCACGTCGATGGGGGGTTAGAATTATTTTGAAATATATAGGGGGCATCATTAGAAGGTGATATCATATAGTTGTTTTTTAAATAGGATGCCCTATATATTATTTCACATTTTCATTCGTTGTGACGAACCGAATTCAACGGTATAGTATACTTTTACTCTGGAGTGAATAATTGAAGAGTTATAAACAGTTGAAAATTGGATTTTTTCAACTTTGGGCAATTGTTATATGAAATCGATTCAAAATCAACTAAAATGGATTACATGTCCCTATTTTAACTTTTTAAATATTATCCAATGATTTTCGCAAAATAATGATACAGAGTTGTAAATAATTCGGATTTTTGACCACCCCTGCATACAATTTTTTTTTATTGTATCATACAGTATATGAAAAGTTAGGACATGGACATGCAAGCCATTTTCTTCGCCTTTGAACCGTTTTCACACAGCAAGTGTCTAAAAGTATAAGAATCCGATTTTCAATTGTTTATAGCTCTTACATTATTCAATTCAGAAGACAAATGTTCTACATCGTTGAATTCCGTTCATTACAAAGAACTAAAACGTGAAATAATATACAGGGTATCGTACTTAAAAAATATAACTTTATGTTGTCACCTTGTAATAATTCAAAATAATTTCAAAATAATTTTAAAATGTGCAGCTCAGAATACCTTATAACTTATGTATACATTTTTTCTTGCAAGTTTTTAAATAAGGGAGTTATAGAGCTACGACAGAGGTTTGTCGGACCCTGTATGGTTACACCTGTAACAAACATTTCTGTTTAGGTTTTCATTAATTTTTTTCTGGATTAGATATATGCTAAAATCTAAAGCGTAACTAGTTACTGACGTAATAAAAACGTTAAAATCATTTACCTTTCATAAAACATATTACAAATAAAACTTGGATTAACCATCCAAATATTTTTATAATGGAAAAACGAAGAGACCAACCAATCATTAAGAATTAAAATATTATATGTGTACGGTGGATCATGGAAATACAAGATAAATACTGCAAGACCGCCAACCTTAGCAAATTCAAGAAGGATAATGTTGACATAAATATTAAAAGAAAATAGCAATATTTATCTAGTTGCCTTTGGATAAAAAAGAAATCAAAGTAGTAAGCTGTCAAACTCTAACACGGTACCATTAGTGATTTAAAAATACAAACGGATCGTTATTAGTTAATCTTATTTCTTAATGATTTTTTGGTTTCTATTTGTTTTCCACTTTAAATAGTTTTATTTGTGACATATTGTATAAAAGGTAAGTTTTTTAAACCTTTACGTAACACCTGCGTAACTAGTTATAATTGTTTTTAGCATATATCTAAAGTCCGCAAAAATGAATGAGAACCTAAACCGAAATGTTTGTTACACGTGTAACCAGAGAATGAATATACGAAATATGGTCCGAATAATTAATGACGACAATAACAATGCTAAAAACGAAATTATACAAACAAGAAGGGAAGCATTCGGTCTACTACCAGCTCCTATTAGACAAATAAGTAGAATATGTCTTAACTGCAATAGAACAATTGTAGATGAACTTCGAAACGTGGAAAATGATCCAACATGTTTACGTTTAAATGTATTGCGACAAACTTTAAACACTACTTGCGTACTTTGCAATAATAATGAAAACTTAACTCGGCTTTCAATTAAATGCAGGGTTCATATTTTTATTACTGTTAATATCTACGTTCCCGAAAATGTGAGAGTCTGCCAACACCATTTAGATGAAAATGATCATATATTTAGACAATTCCTACCTGGTTTAGAATTTGTTAACAGACCTTACAAAATAAAAGGTGGCCAGTTAGCGCTATTTTTACAAGAATTGCGCGTTACCAGTAAGCAAGAAAAATGGCAGTTTTGTGATATCGACAGTTTTTCAGACGATGAATTTAAGTCAATATCTCCAATAACAAAAAATCAGTTTAGAGATCTATACAGATATTGTGATAATATTTTTAGCCAAAATCAACGCCGTTTTGTGTCAGAAAAAGATTTACTTACATTTCTATGTAAAATAAAACAAGGTCTGTCTGATCATTTTTTAAAAGCCATTTTTAATTATCCTACGAGGCAGTGTGTAAGCATGGTGGTTAGTAACGTACGCTTATCTTTGATGCAAAGATTTGTACCAGAAAATATAGGATTTCAAGCAATAACACGGCAAGAGTATATGGAAAGACATGTTACACCATTTGCAAATAGGCTATACAATCCAAATCCAGAAGTTCCAGTTGCTATAGCATATATTGATGGGACATATTGTGAGATACCAAAGAGTACGAACTTTCAGGTACTCATAAACTATTGAAATTACTAGTTTTGTTTGCGTCAATATCTAGACGGTCCTGAAACAAGAAAAATATTTTACTTATTTTACCTTTATCCTAAAGATTAATAAAATGTAAACGTCTTTTAGGCCCTTCGGCAGTCTTACTGCGTCCACAAAGGCTACCATCTGATAAAACCGGCCCTTTTAGTTGCTCCTGATGGTTATATCCTAGCTGTCCAAGGACCTTACTTTTCTGATTCAAGAAATAACGACGCCGCAGTGTTAAATAATGAACTACAACGAGACATTCAAGGGATAAGGGAGTGGTTTCAAGAAAACGATTTGCTTGTTGTTGATAGGGGTTATCGAGATGCGATTCCGTTACTTCAAGAACTAGGCATTGACCATCGCATGCCCAGTAGTGTCAGACCAGGAGAAAGGCAGCTATCGGTAGAAGAAGCTAACGACTCTCGTTTAATTACCAAAACTAGGTGGATTGTCAAGTCTCGTAATGGTCACTTCAAATCTATTTTTAAATTTTTTGCTCAAGTTATATCAATTAACCATGCATTGCATTTACGAGACTTTTATCTTATTGGTGGGGCAATTATAAATAAATATCGGGAACCAATACTGATGAACGGGGCGAATATTGAACTTGCAGAGTTATTATTGCAAAAATCAACCGAGGCAAATAATTTAAAAATAAGGATTGAAAACGAAAACTTGCTACAACGTCGTGGCCATTTTGTTAATCTAGAAAACCATCACGTACCAGATTTTCCTCACTTAACTTTAGAATATCTTAATGCACTGACAGTAGGAACGTACCAGCTAAAACTTGCTCCATCTTATATTCAGGATGCAAGGCAACATGAACACGGTAATAATTTTCAAATCGACATCTCTATTGAAATATGTAATACAATTAGGATTCGGATGTGGTCAAGGTTTAAAAATGCGGCTAAATATCAAATCTGGATTCAGTATGATAATGATAACATAATTGGTTATTACTGCACCTGCAAAGTGGGAGCAAGGACAGTGGGTACTTGTTCACATATTACAAGCGTAGTTTGGTTTCTGGGATATTCTAGGCATTTGGTGAACGTAAAATATCCTTCAAATTCTCTTTTAGAAGAAATACGAGATGTTTCAAATCGATTTCACATTGCCAATAATATTTAGATTTATTTTTCGCCAAATGACCTGAATGTAGCCGCGCAATAATTTGGTAACTTTTAGTCAATTCTGTAGAAAATTGCTTGGTTACTGTTGCACTTAAGTTAAAAAATTGTTTTGCTTAAAAGTAGTAGGTTGAAGTATCTCCCTGTATAAACGTACAACTACAACTATGATTTGTACAAAACTAGTAAAACTATCTTGATATGGTTTTTGCATCACCCTGAATTTAAAAAAAAAACAAGTCGTCAGTATTAAAATTAATTTTTTTGCTAAAATGCATACCAATAAACAAAAATACTAAAAATATCATATAAATATTCAACTTTCCGTACCATTTAAAATTGTTCACCCTGTAGAGTTGCCATATTTAGACTTTATAGCAGTAACTATATCTATTCAAGGCATGCATGCTGTTTTTGTTTTAAATTATGCTCTTTTTTGATTATAAGGACAATTTGAAAAGTAGTGCACATATAGCAAGCCCCCTTTTACGTACACTTATGAGTGACCCTAGCTCCGAAACGGCTCGTGGACCCCCGCCAATTTTTTCTTCACAAATTCAATAAAGATGTTTAGGACTACAACATATATAAAATTAAGACATTTTTACCGAAACCTTTTTTCAGTGCTTTAAGTGCGGTGTCCTTTTACATGATTTAAATAATTTGATGTTAAAAGTTGATATAACTATTTAAACCATGAAAATGTCGAATGTTTTATCAAAATAATAATAATAATAATAATAATATTAATAATAATAATAATAATAATAATAATAATAATAATAATAAATAATAATAATAATAATAATAATAATAATAATAATAATGATAATAATAATAATAATAATAATAATAATAATAATAATAATAATAATAATAATAATAATAATAATAATAATAATAATAATAATAATAATAATAATAATAATAATAATAATAATTAATAATAAATAATTAATAATAATAATAATAATAATAATAATAATAATAATAATAATAATAATTAATAAATAATAATAATAATAATAATAATAATAAATAATAATAATAAATAATAATAATAATAATAATAATAATAATAATAATAATAATAATAATAATAATAATAATAATAATAATAATAATAATAATAATAATAATAATAATAATAATAATAATAATAATAATAATAATATAATAATAATAATAATAATAATAATAATAATAATAATAATAATAATAATAATAATAATAATAATAATAATAATAATAATAATAATAATAATAATAATAATAATAATAATAATAATAATAATAATAATAATAATAATAATAATAATAATAATAATAATAATAATAATAATAATAATAATAATAATAATAATAATAATAATAATAATAATAATAATAATAAATAATAATAATAATAATAATAATAATAATAATAATAATAATAATAATAATAATAATAATAATAATAATAATAATAATAATAATAATATAATAATAATAATAATAATAATAATAATAATAATAATAATAATAATAATAATAAAATCCGTCTGGGGTGCGGACATAGAATACCCCCAGGGTGTCTCACACCTGTCGTAAAAGGCGACTATGAGGAGCAGCTGTCCGCTGACCCATACCTGTCATCCTACCCCACCCCCCGAGGAGTAAACCTCAATAAAAATCACCTGGCAGTAGGTATAAAATGCAAATAATCCATGATGTATAATCTCAGGAATAAACGGGTGAATCGGCATTGTACCACCGAAACCTCTTGTCGCGTTCAGGCTTCTGGTAGCGGGACCTGTTCGGAAAGTGAGCTACCGTCTCCCTCGGCTAGCGGCAGGCGCAGCGTGACGCCGAGTATGGCTACTGCGGCCCCCACTACTATTGAGGAACATATTAACAACTCTCCTCAACCAGCTTTTGATGTTTCTGCGGCGACGCAAGTCAATTTACCGTTGACCACAAAAGCTGGAGTGCCTAGGAAGCGCATGAAGTGGACATCAGAGCTAAATTCCTTTATAATGCGCTCCTACTTTAAAATAACAAAAATGGAAACCGACTTGACCACCTATAGATACGCTCTCCATCGTGCCTTTGTTGAGAAATACCCTGAACTCCAACACCTAACGGAACAACGCATTGCTGACCAAAGGCGGGCAATTCTAACAAAGAATTTACTCGCTGCTCCAGTGGTGCAGCAAATTAGGGCCGAAGTTCTCCTTGAACTTCAAGGCGAGGATGAGTTCCCCTCAACCGAAAACGCACTTGATGGAGACCACACTGGCGTAGATGAAAACAATACCGAAAATGACACTAACCCCGATAGAGACAATAACACCCAAATTGATATGGCCGATCGTGTATCTACTGAATTCTCTAGAGCACTAGCAGAATTTGACGGTACCGATCCAACTCGTAGGCCAAAACTGCCAAAACTTAGAACACATAAGACCACTAATAATATTATTGCTGCTGTAAATACTCTTTTGCTAGACTGTTCCATTAAATGTGGCAGCCTGGAGCAACTCCATTTGCTGGTATACTGTGGAGCAGTGACAGTGCTTCGAAGTCATAACCAGCAGGTGCGTAGGCCTAAGAGTGGATACAGTGATAATAATAAGAATGTAAAACCTTGGTGGCAGCGACGACTTGAAGGCGCAATTGACAACATCCGGAGAGAACTGGGTCGACTTACCGAATTCTGTAAGAACCCTCAAACTTCAAGACGCCTTAAAAATCATATAAGAAAAATCTTTAAAAAAATTGGCACTCACGAGAAACATCCACAACATCAACAACATGTTTGTGAGTATATTGATCTGCTTAAGCAGAAACTAAAGGCTAAAGCTAAACGATTATCCAGGTATGTAAAATGCACCAATAGAAAACAACAAAATTCCCTGTTTAACAAAAATCAAAAATCATTTTACAGGAACCTAGGTGCTTCGACTGACAACAACAACCAAGCACCTTACGAACTACTGGTCCTCATTATGGTCAAGCCCAAAAGAACATAAAAGGAGCGCATACTGGATCGCATCAGAAATGGAGAAGGTAAATATCGCACCGATGCCCTTCGACAGGATCACTGCGGAGGATGTATTCGAGGCTGTTAAATATACCGATAATTGGAAAGCACCGGGAGTGGATGGCACGCATAACTTCTGGTATAAGAAGTTTAGCAGCTTACACCAATCTCTGGCGCATCATTTAACACACATACTCCACCATCCAGAAGACATACCAAAGTTCCTTACACTGGGCATAACAAACATGTTACCCAAGAGTGCACAAACGGAAGACCCTACCCAATATAGACCAATTACATGTCTACCAACATTATATAAAATACTTACATCTTGTTTGACTAACCACATTTACAGACATGTCGAACTAAATAACGTTTTAGCTGAAGAGCAGAAAGGGTGTAAGAGGGAGCATCAAGGGTGTAAAGAACAACTTATTATAGATTCTGTAATACTTAAGCAGGCACAGAGAAACCATCGTAACATCTGCACCGCCTTTGTTGATTACAAGAAGGCCTTCGACAGTGTGCCCCACTCGTGGCTGGTGAAAGTTTTAGAAATCTATAAAATACACCCTACCATTACTACATTTCTTGCCACCATAATGCAAACTTGGAGGACAAATCTAAACCTCCACATAAAGGATAAGTATTTAAAAACAGACGAAATATCTATTCGTAGGGGAATATACCAGGGCGACTCTCTAAGCCCATTGTGGTTTTGCCTCGCTCTGAACCCGCTCTCTTCCATGCTAAATGCCACGAAATATGGTTTTAAGGTTACGGCTGACAGAAACACCAGTTGTATTATCTCCCATCTTCTCTATATGGATGACATAAAAATCTATGCCGCAAACCAACAACAAATGCGACAGCTGTTGGAGATTGTTCAAAAATTCTCTAACGACATCCATATGGAATTTGGCCTAAACAAATGTAAAACCTTAAATATCGAGAAGGGTGCCATAATGGGTGGCGATGTTCAGCTCCCAAATGGTGACATTATACAGGCCATGGAGAACGGTGAGACATACAAATACTTGGGATTTCAACAAGCCAGAATGCTCGAGGAGAACCAAGCCAAAGCCAGGATTAAGGGCCAATTTACAAAACGGGTAAGCTCCTTACTTAAAACCGAACTAAACTCTGGCAATTTATTCCAGGCAATTAACACCTACGCAACGCCTATACTGACGTACTCATTCGGAATCCTCAAATGGACAAGAACTGATTTAGATGAAATTCAAAGACTGACACGTACTATGATGACCAAACATAACTGTCATCACCCAAAATCATCAACACTTCGAACAACTTTGTCGAGGAAAGATGGAGGACGAGGCCTGGTTGATATTATTAACCTGCACTCTCGTCAGGTTAGTAATTTACGAGAGTTTTTCTACAAGAAAGCTCGAACATCAAACGTTCACAATACCATTGTAAAGGCAGACAAGAACTATTCGGCTCTTAATCTTGCCTCGGCTGAAGTAGTGTTCAAAGAGAAATCCGACGCCATCAAGAAAGAAGAATGGTCTCAGAAAGAGTTGCATGGTCGACACTACTATGATCTTAATCAGCCTCACATTGACAAGGAGGCATCTAATAAGTGGCTCACTAGAGGCGAGCTCTTCCCTGAGACCGAGGGTTTCATGAGTGCTATACAAGATCAAGTGGTTAATACAAACAATTATAAAAAGTACATTATTAGAGATCCAAACACCAAAACGGACAAATGCAGAAAATGCCATCAAGTGTCGGAAACAATTCAGCACATAACATCTGGGTGCAGCTTGTTGGCAAATACTGATTACCTCCATCGACATAATCAGGTCTGCAATATTATCCATCAAAAGTTAGCCAACAAGCTTGGACTTATTAATACTTATACTCCATATTACAAGTATCAACCGCAGAAGGTACTCGAGAATGACCACTTTAGAATCTACTACGACAGGCCTATTATCACCGATAGACAGGTGACGAATAACAGGCCTGATATAGTGGTGGTGGATAAAGGAATCAACTCGGTCCTTCTGATAGACATCGCCATACCAAATAACAACAACATCTTAAGTAAGTATCAGGAGAAGATAAGTAAATATACAGACCTCGCTTTTGAGATCCGACAGATGTGGCATGCAAACAAGGTCGCGATAGTCCCAGTTATACTATCATCCACAGGCATTGTACCGAAATCACTAGAAACAAGCCTAGCGAAACTGGGACTTCATAAGAATACCTATATCGACCTCCAGAAAGCGGTCATTCTGAACACTTGCCGCACGGTAAGAAAATTTTTACAGGTGTAACGACTAAGCCCAACCCCTTTGATACTCTGTATCCGGGGTGGGTGAATTTTACCCAGCCAATTGGCTGAGATAGTGAGTGTATAATAATAATAATAATAATAATAATAATAATAATAATAATAATAATAATAATAATAATAATAATAATAATAATAATAATAATAATAATAATAATAATAATAATAATAATAATAATAATAATAATAATAATAATAATAATAATAATAATAATAATAATAATAATAATAATAATAATAATAATAATAATAATAATAATAATAATAATAATAATAATAATAATAATAATAATAATAATAATAATAATAATAATAATAATAATAATAATAATAATAATAATAATAATAATAATAATAATAATAATAATAATAATAATAATAATAATAATAATAATAATAATAATAATAATAATAATAATAATAATAATAATAATAATAATAATAATAATAATAATAATAATAATAATAATAATAATAATAATAATAATAATAATAATAATAATAATAATAATAATAATAATAATAATAATAATAATAATAATAATAATAATAATAATAATAATAATAATAATAATAATAATAATAATAATAATAATAATAATAATAATAATAATAATAATAATAATAATAATAATAATAATAATAATAATAATAATAATAATAATAATAATAATAATAATAATAATAATAATAATAATAATAATAATAATAATAATAATAATAATAATAATAATAATAATAATAATAATAATAATAATAATAATAATAATAATAATAATAATAATAATAATAATAATAATAATAATAATAATAATAATAATAATAATAATAATAATAATAATAATAATAATAATAATAATAATAATAATAATAATAATAATAATAATAATAATAATAATAATAATAATAATAATAATAATAATAATAATAATAATAATAATAATAATAATAATAATAATAATAATAATAATAATAATAATAATAATAATAATAATAATAATAATAATAATAATAATAATAATAATAATAATAATAATAATAATAATAATAATAATAATAATAATAATAATAATAATAATAATAATAATAATAATAATAATAATAATAATAATAATAATAATAATAATAATAATAATAATAATAATAATAATAATAATAATAATAATAATAATAATAATAATAATAATAATAATAATAATAATAATAATAATAATAATAATAATAATAATAATAATAATAATAATAATAATAATAATAATAATAATAATAATAATAATAATAATAATAATAATAATAATAATAATAATAATAATAATAATAATAATAATAATAATAATAATAATAATAATAATAATAATAATAATAATAATAATAATAATAATAATAATAATAATAATAATAATAATAATAATAATAATAATAATAATAATAATAATAATAATAATAATAATAATAATAATAATAATAATAATAATAATAATAATAATAATAATAATAATAATAATAATAATAATAATAATAATAATAATAATAATAATAATAATAATAATAATAATAATAATAATAATAATAATAATAATAATAATAATAATAATAATAATAATAATAATAATAATAATAATAATAATAATAATAATAATAATAATAATAATAATAATAATAATAATAATAATAATAATAATAATAATAATAATAATAATAATAATAATAATAATAATAATAATAATAATAATAATAATAATAATAATAATAATAATAATAATAATAATAATAATAATAATAATAATAATAATAATAATAATAATAATAATAATAATAATAATAATAATAATAATAATAATAATAATAATAATAATAATAATAATAATAATAATAATAATAATAATAATAATAATAATAATAATAATAATAATAATAATAATAATAATAATAATAATAATAATAATAATAATAATAATAATAATAATAATAATAATAATAATAATAATAATAATAATAATAATAATAAT